CCTTAAATGACACACTGGACCAGATGGACATCACAGATACATTCAGAACATTCCATCCCAAAGCAACGGAATACACATTCTTCTCTAGTGCACATGGAACATTCTCCAGAATAAATCACATTCTCGGTCCTAAAACAAGTCTCAACAGGTATAAAGATTGGGATCATTCCCTGCATATGTTCAGACCACAACGCTCTGAAGCTAGAACTCAATCACAAGAGTAAATTTGGAAAGAACCCAAATACATGGAGACTAAACAGCATCCTTCTAAAGAATGAATGGGTCAACCAGGAAATTAAAGAAGAATTGAAAAAATTCATGGAAACAAATGATAATGAAAACACAACGGTTCAAACTCTGTGGGACACAGCAAAGGCAGTCCTGAGAGGAAAATATATAGCGGTACAAGCCTTTCTCAAGAAACAAGAAAGGTCTCAGGTACACAACCTAACCCTACACCTAAAGGAGCTGGAGAAAGAACAAGAAAGAAACCCTAAACCCAGCAGGAGAAGAGAAATCATAAAGATCAGAGCAGAAATCAATGAAATAGAAACCAAAACAACAATAGAACAAATCAATGAATTTAGGAGCTGGTTCTTTGAAAGAATTAATAAGATTGATAAACCCCTGGCCAGACTTATCAAAAAGAAAAGAGAAAGGACCCAAATAAATAAAATCATGAATGAAAGAGGAGAGATCACAACCAACACCAAAGAAATACAAACAATTATAAGAACATACTATGAGCAAATCTACAGCAACAAATCTGACAATGTGGAAGAAATGGATGCATTCCTAGAGACATATAAACTACCACAACTGAACCAGGAAGAAATAGAAAGCCTGAACAGACCCATAACCAGTAAGGAGATTGAAAGAGAAATCAAAAATCTCCAAACAAACAAAAGCCCAGGGCCAGACGGCTTCCCGGGGGAATTCTACCAAACATTTAAAGAAGAACTAATTCCTATTCTCCTGAAACTGTTCCAAAAAATAGAAATGGAAGGAAAACTTCCAAACTCATTTTATGAGGCCAGCATCACCTTGATCTCAAAACCAGACAAGGATCCCATCAAAAAAGAGAACTACAGGCCAATATCCTTGATGAACACAGATGCAAAAACTCTCACCAAAATACTAGCCAATAGGATCCAACAGTACATTAAAAGGATTATTCACCACGACCAAGTGGGATTTATTCCAGGGCTGCAAGGTTGGTTCAACATCCGCAAATCAATCAATGTGATACAACACATTAAGAAAAGAAAGAATAAGAACCATATGATACTCTTCACAGATGCTGAAAAAGCACTTGACAAAGTACAGCATCCGTTCCTGATCAAAACTCTTCAAAGTGTAGGGATAGAGGGCACATACCTCAATATTATCAAAACCATCTATGAAAAACCCACTGCAAATATCATTCTCAATGGAGAAAAACTGAAAGCTTTTCCGCTAAGGTCAGGAACACGGCACGGATGTCCGTTATCACCTCTGCTATTCAACATAGTACTAGAAGTCCTAGCCTCAGCAATCAGACAAAAAAAAAGGAAATTAAAGGCATCCAAATCGGCAAAGGAGAAGTCAAACTATCACTCTTCGCAGATGATATGATACTATATGTGGAAAATCCAAAAGACTCCACTCCAAAACTGCTAGAACTTGTACAGGAATTCAGTAAAGTGTCAGGATATAAAATCAATGCCCAGAAATCAGTTGCATTTCTCTACACCAACAACAAGACAGAAGAAAGAGAAATTAAGGAGTCAATACTATTCACAATTGCACCCAAATCTATAAGATACCTAGGAATAAACCTAACCAAAGAGGCTAAGAATCTATACCCAGAAAACTATAAAGTACTCATAAAAGAAACTGAGGAAGACACAAAGAAATGGAAAAATGTTCCATGCTCCTGGATTGGAAGATCAAATATTGTGAAAATGTCTATGCTACCCAAAGCAATCTACACATTTAATGCAATTCCTATCAAAATACCAGCCATTTTTTTCAAAGAAATGGAAAAAATAATCCTAAAATTTATATGGAACCAGAAAAGACCTCGAATAGCCAAAGGAATATTGAAAAAGAAAGCCAAAGTGGGTGGCATCACAATCCCGGACTTCAAGCTCTATTACAAAGCTGTCACCATCAAGACAGCATGGTACTGGCACAAAAACAGACACATAGATCAATGGAACGGAATAGAGAGCCCAGAAACAGACCCTCAACTCTATGGTCAACTCATCTTCAACAAAGCAGGAAAGAATGTCCAATGGAAAAAAGACAGCCTCTTCAATAAATGGTGTTGGGAAAATTGGACAGCCACATGCAGAAAAATGAAATTGGATCATTTCCTTATACCACACATGAAAATAGACTCAAATGGATGAAGGACCTCAATATGAGAAAGGAATCCATCAAAATGCTTGAGAACACAGGCAGCAACCTCTTCGACCTCAGCCGCAGCAACATCTTTCTAGGAACATCACCAAAGGCAAGGGAAGCAAGGGCAAAAATGAACTATTGGGATTTCATCAAGATCAAAAGCTTTTGCACAGCAAAGGAAACAGTTAACAAAACCGAAAGACAACTGACAGAATGGGAGAAGATATTTGCAAATGACATATCGGATAAAGGGCTAGTGTCCAAAATCTATAAGGAACTTAGCAAACTCAACACCCAAAGAACAAATAATCCATTCAAGAAACGGGCAGAGGACATGAACAGACATTTCTGCAAAGAAGACGACATCCAGATGGCCAACAGACACATGAAAAAGTGCTCCATATCACTCGGCATCAGGGAAATACAAATCAAAACCAGAATGAGATATCACCTCACACCAGTCAAAATGGCTAAAATTAACAAGTCAGGAAATGACAGATGCTGGCGAGGATGCGGAGAAAGGGGAACCCTCCTACACTGTTGGTGGGAATGCAAGCTGGTGCAACCACTCTGGAAAACAGCATGGAGGTTCCTCAAAATGTTGAAAATAGAACTACCCTATGACCCAGCAATTGCACTACTGGGTATTTACCCGAAAGATACAAACGTAGTGATCCGAAGGGGCACGTGCACCCGAATGTTTATAGCAGCAATGTCTACAATAGCCAAACTATGGAAAGAACCTAGATGTCCATCAACAGACGAATGGATAAAGAAGATGTGGTATATATACACAATGGAATACTATGCAGCCGTCAAAAGAAATGAAATCTTGCCATTTGTGACGACGTGGATGGAACTAGAGGGTATCATGCTTAGCGAAATAAGTCAATCGGAGAAAGACAACTATCATATGATCTCCCTGATATGAGGGAGAGGAGATGCAACATGGGGGGTTAAGGGGGTAGGAGAAGAGTAAATGAAACAAGATGGGATTGGGAGGGAGACAAACCATAAGTGACTCTTAATCTCACAAAACAAACTGAGTGTTGATGGGGAGAGGGGGGTTGGGTGAGGGGGGGTGGGGTTATGGACATTGTGGAGGGTATGTGCTATGGTGAGTGCTGTGAAATGTGTAAACCTGGCGATTCACAGACCTATATCCCTGGGGATAAAAATATATTATACGTTTATAAAAAATAAAATTAAATTAAAAAAAAAAAAGATATTTTCTAGACACCCAAATACATCCCAGAAAAGGCAATAATGCAAAATTCAAGAAAAGTACAAGAAATTGTTCTTTATTATGTGGACAGTGTTCAGATCTGAATGGAAGAACAATGCTATCTATACTACTAATTATGGCTTGAATTATGTGCCCCCAAAATGCATATTAAATTCGTAACACCCAATACCTCAGGATGTGACTCTACTCGGAAACAGCATCTTTACAAAGATAATCAAGTTAAAATGTGGTCATTAGAGTGGCCCCTGATCCAATAAGACTGGCAGCCTCATAAAGAGGGAATATTTAGAGAAAGCCATGCATTCAGGGAGAATGCCAAGTGAAGATGAAGGCAGGGATCAGGGCGACAATTCTATAAACCAAAGAATACCAAAAACTGCTAGCAAATCACCAGAAGCTAGACGAAAGACACGGATTATATTATTCACAACCCTTAGAAAGATCCAAACCTACTGACACTTTGATCTCAGATTTCCAGAACTGTGAGATAATGAATTTCTGTTGTTTAAGCCACACAGTTGGTGGTACTTTGTTATGGTAGTCCTATAAACCAGGAGCAAAATCTTACATAAACAAGTTTTCAATTGTTGATAAACAACCAATGTTCTTAGGGTTCGGAGAAGTGTCACATAATTGACACTCCATGTCCCTCCAACCAATGACACACACACATGCATGCACACACACATTATGAAAACCAAAAATCATTAACAATTATTTATAAAACAAAATTATATTTACCTCTTTCATTAAAATTTTCAACATATTCTGAATATGTACTATGTGCCATTCAGAGTATAAGGGTCAGGGCAGAAAAAAGTTAACAAGATCCAATCCCTACTGGATGGGAATTTGTAATCAAGTTTCAATCTTCCCATTCAGAATACCCATAGCACTTGATGATTGTGATGCAATATTACTTTTGCTGTTTGGTTTGTGTTCAACTGAATCTGCTCCCTAATAATTTCTTCATAGAAGACCTCCTCTCTGACAAGGACTAAGTTCTGTGAGCATGTCACATAGATACAGGTACATGATAAACATTCAATAATTAATGATTTATCAAAAAGTCAAATTATATCTGTTTTATCCCAAAAGAAATAATATCTGAAAAGTCATTTTATAAAATATAAATGCTCATTAGTATTACCATTATACCATTAAATAATCACTTATAGCAATAAAAACATAGCATTTCATTTTCAAATATTTCCAAGTTAATTCTTTAAAAAGTGATTTTTCCCCTGACAACTTATTCCATTATGATGAAATATTAAATGGGTTGAATCACACCAAATGAACAGATGAATTGGATTCTGAAACGATCTAAGACAAATTCAAAAGCAATTGTCTTTAATATACTCACCACTTTCAAAGCAAGCATCAAAGATAAGATGTCCTTTTTTGGGCTGTCCATAGTATCCAGACGGAAGCACCATATATTTGCTCACATTCCCTCCAATGGCATCATCATTTCCCACATCATTGCCTATTTAAAAAAAAAAAAAAAAAGCTCATGTTTAACAGAAATCAAAATACATTTAGGAATATAAATCCAATGAGATTTTTATTATTATTTATTATTAAGCCTCAGTTTTTCCCATCCACTATTAAGGAATGGTAAATGAAAATACCTAGCATGACTACTAAAATCCAAAAGATGTCCATTAAATTGCACCAAGTATTTAATAAGTGGTTAATATACTTAAACTCTCATAAATGTTCAGTTAAGGGAGCCTGGGTGACTCAGTTAAACATCTGCCTTCAGCTCAGGTCATGATCCCAGGGATCAAGGTCCCTGTTCAGTGGGGAGTCTGCTTGTCCCTCATCCTTCACCTCCCCCCAACCTTGTGCGCGCTCTCGCTCTCTCTCTCTCTCTTGCACGTGCCTGCTTGCTCTCTCAAATAAATCTTTTTAAAAAAGAACTGTTTAATTATTTTAATTCAAATAAAACAATAATTCTATAACTAGCATTATAACTTCCTAATGTTCCACAACCAGAAATAATTTGAGAACTACTGAATTAACAAATAAGTTATACTGTTGGTGGGAATGCACGCTGGTACAGCTACTCTGGAAAACAGTATGGAGGTTCCTCAGAAAGTTGCAAATAGAGCTACTCTATGAACCAGCAGTTGCACTACTAGGTGTTTACCCCAAAGATATAAACGTAGTGATCTGAAGAGGAACCTGCACTCCAATGTTCATAGCAGTAATGTCCACAATAGTCAAACTGCAGAAAGAGCCAAGATGTCCATCGAAAAATGAATGGATAAAGAAGGTGTTATATATATATCTATATCTCTATACACACACACACACACACACACACACACACACACACACACACAGGAATATTACTCAACCATTAGAAAGGATGAATACTTACCATTTACATTGATGTGGATGGAATTGGATGGTAATATGCTGAGTGAAATAAGCCAATCAGAGAAAGACAATTATCATACAGCTTCACTCATATGTGGAATACAAGAAAGAGTGCAAAGAATCATAGGGGAAGGGAGGGAAACTGAATAGGAAGTCATCAGAGAGGGAGAAAAACCATAAGAGACTCTTAACTATAGGAAACAAACTGAGGGATGCTGAAGGGGAGATGGGTTGGGGGATGGGGTATTTGGGTGATGGGCATTAAGGAAGTCACATGATGTGAGGAGAAGTGGGTATTATAGGAAACTGATAAATTACTGAACACTATATCTGATAAATTACTGAACACTATATCTGAAACTGTATGTTGGCTAATTGAATTTATATTTTAAAAAATAAGTTACACTTTTTAATAGGAACTTTAAATTTTTTTTTTAAATTTTAGAAGTTTCACTTCTAGGTGGATGTAGAAACTTGAAAAAAATCATAGCTTCCACCTTAGTAAGATAATCCCCAAAAGGAACAAAATCATAACTTACAAAAATCTATTGGAAAATGGAGGTTGCAGGGCAACAATAATCTGATATCCAAGGAAAGTCAGGCCCCACCAAAAGCACTTTATGGCAGAGCACAAGAGGAAGAAAGGCCGAGTGCCATACAAATGGTAAAAAGAATGAAACTAAATTTTTTTTTTAACTGTCAAAAGCCAAGTACAGGAAATAGAGTATAGACCCTCTGAGCATCATAGACATAAAGGGAATTCACACCCACTGCCAGACTCTTTTATATATGCCTCTATCAGGTGTTTAGGAGAAAGATTAGGAGCAGGGAAGAAAACTAGAAAATGCCTTTCATTGTAATGCAAGAATGGAGAAGGGGATGGCCTTTTGTTACAGAAAAGGCATGAAGCCCTATCAATATCATTTTCCTTTATGGAGAAGAAAAAGACCTTAAGCCACTGGGGGACAAGTAGCAAACCTTAAAACCTCACTACACAAATAAGACTCCAAACAGGAGGAAGAACAGAAAAAAAAAAATATATATATATATATATATATCCTCTATATCTGGAGGAGGGGAAGAAAAAACTGTCTCACACAAGACCCAACAATGATTCAAGGCAGAGAGGAAAGAGGGAAGACAGATGGGATCATTGAAAAACTCCACCCCAAGACCACAGCATATAGGACCTGCCTAAAGTTAGGTCCTGGTCTTCAGCTAGACCAAGACAACAGAAATACTCTTGTTCCCTCAATACTAAGATAGCAAGCACTAAAAAACAACTGTCATCTACTGCTAGGGATAAGACAAAAGCATGGAAATAAACTCTGTCTGTGGAAGGAGTACCCAGCAAAGGACAAAAGTTTAGGGTGGAGCAGATCAATGAGGGAAAACTCTCAATCACTCTAGACCTTTCCCTTAGGAATAAGGTAACCCTAAAGACTCCACCAAAAATTACTAGAACTGATGAATGAATTCAGTGAGGTCACAGGATACAAAATCAATATACAGAAACCTGTTGCATTTTTATATAAAACTGATGAAGTAGCAGAAAAAGAAATTAAGAAAACAACCTCATTTTACAATTATACCAAAAGTAGTAAGATACCTAGTAATAAAACTAACCAAGGAGGTATAAGACCTGTACTGTGAAAACTATAAAACACTGATGAAAAAATTAAAGATGATACATATAAATGGAAAGATAGTCCATGCTCACGGATTGGAAAAACAAGTATTGTTAAAATGCCTATACTACCCAAAGCAATCTACCGATTTAATGCAATCCCTACCAAAACACTAACAACATTTTTCACAGAAATAGAACAAATAATTCTAAAATTTGCATGAAACCACCAAACACCCTGACAACCAAAGCATTCTTGAAAAAGGAAAACAAAACTAGAAGTATCACAATCCCAGATTTCAAGATATACTGCAAAAGCTGTAGTAATGAAAACAGTACCAGCACAAAAACAGATACATAGATCAAGAGAACAGAATAAAGAGCCCAGATATAAATCCATGATTATTTGGTCAGTTAATCTTTGACAAAGGAGGCAAGATTATGCAATGGGAAAACAAAGTCTCTTCAAAAAAGGGTGTTAAGAAAACTGGGCAGCTATATATAAAAGAATGAAATTGGACCACTTTCTTATACCATACTCAAAAATAAACTCAAAATGGACTTAGGACCTAAATGTGAGATTTGAAACCATAAAAAATCCTAGAGGAGAGCACAGGAAGCAATTTCTCTGACATTAGCCACAACAACATTTTTCTAGATATGTCTCCTCAGGCAAGAGAAATAAAAGCCAAAACAGAGCACCTGGGTGGCTCAGTGGGTTAAACCTAAGCCTTCAGCTCAGATCATGATCTCAAGGTCCTGGGATCAAGCCCCGTATCAGGCTCTCTGGTCAGCAGGGAGAGTGCTTACCCCACCCCCTCTGCCTGCCTCTCTGCCTACTTGTGATCTCTCTCTCTCTCTGTCAAATAAATAAATAAAATCTTAAAAAAAAAAAAAATCCAAAACAAACCTTTGGGACTATATTAAAATAAAAAGCTTCTATACAGCAAAGGAAAACACCAACAAAACTAATAGCATACTGAATGGGTAAAGATATTGGCAAATAACATATATGATAAAGGGTTGATATCCAATATATATAAAGAACTTATAGAACACCACCCAAAAAACAATCCAATTTAAAAATGGGCACAAGACATGGACAGACATTTCTCCAAAGAAGACATAAGATGACCACCAGACATGTGAAAAGATAGCCCAACATCACTCATCATCAGGAAAATGCAAATCAAAACTGCAATGAAATATCATCTAACACCTGTCAGAATGGTTAATTCAAAAACACAAGAAACAAGTGTTCACAAGAATGTGGAGAAAAAGGAACCATCATGCACTGTTGGTAAGAATACAAACTGGTATGGCCACTATGGAAAACAGTATGGAAGTTCCTCAAAAATTAAAAATAGAACTACCATATGATCCGGTAATTACTCTACTGGGTACTTACTTTCCCAAAGAATACAAAACACTAATTCAAAAAGATATGTACACTCCTATGTTTATTGCCGCATAATTTACAATAGCCAAATTACAGAAGCAACCCAAGACTCCATCAACAGATGAATGGATAAAAGAATGGATAAAAAACATTTGATATATAGATATAATAGAATCTTACTCAGCCATAAAAAAGAATTAAATCTTACCATTTCCAACAACATAGATGGATCTAGAATATATAATGCTAAGCAAAGTAAGTCAGAGAAATACAAATGCCCTATAATTTCACTTATATGTGGAATTTCAGAAACAGAACAAATGAATAAAAGAAAAAAGAGGCAAAAGACCAGACTCTTAAATACAGAGAACAAAAGGATGATTACCAGAGGGGAGGAAGGTGAGGGGATGGGTGAAACAGGTGAAGGGGATTAAGAGTACACTTACTCTGATGATGAGCACTGAGTAATGTATAGAATTGTTGAATCACTATATTGTATACCTGAAACTAATATAATACTACACATTAATTATATTGGAATTTAATTTTTTTAATTTTTAATTTTAAAAACAAAGAAATAAATTAAAATATTAAAGTAACTCAAGAAGAATTTGAAGCCAGTGATAAACTCAAAATAACCATAAAAACAATGAAATTTAACCCAGCTTAACACATGACTAAATTGACATAAGCCCTCACACAAACAGCCAGGAGAAGACATATCCATTTGCAGTGACAAATGGTATTTCTTTTTTTTTTTTAGGATTTTATTTATTTATTTGACAGACAGAGATCACAAGTAGGCAGAGAGGCAGGCAGAGAGCGGGGAGGAAGCAGGCTCACCGCTGAGCAGAGAGCCTGATGCAGGGCTTGATCCCAGGACCCTGAGATCATGATCTGAGCCGAAGGCAGTGGCTGAAACCACTGAGCCACCCAGGAGCTGACAAATAGTATTTCTATCACTGCCTACTGTTCTATACTAGGAGTCAAGTATACAACACAAAATTGAGGAACATACAAAAAAAAAAAAAAAAAATCAAGAAAAAACAACCTACTGTCAAGAGCAATTAATTGA